GGAACTGGGACTTGGCGGTACCGGGGTCACCGAGCAGCAGCACGTTGATATCTCCACGGATGGACATCTTGCCTTGGGCCTGCTTGCTGACTCCACCGAAGAGGGACAACGCGATGGCGGTCTTGACGTCCAGGTGACCGTAGATACTGGGGGCAATCGAGCGAACGATCTTGTCGACAATCTCGGGGTCTCTGGACAGGGCACGGATTTCTCGCTCATCCTCTTCCGTCAGGTGGAAACCAGCCAGCTGGTCGTGGGACTTGACGATGTGATTGGCCTCGATGATCGTGGCGAAGACGGGGAATCCGTTCTTGTTGTTGAGCTGCGCATCGTAGCTGTTGCGGTAGATACCGGTTACCTCGATCTCATCACCAGGCTTAGCCGAGTCGATGAGATCAGCAAGAAGAACGATCTCGCGCTGGCGGGGGAGACGACCGGCGGGAACAGAGCCAGGGGATTCCTGCAGGGTCAACTTCTGGTAGTTGCGGTACACTGTCTTCTCGGAGTGAACGGTAAAAGGTCCCTTGGCCTGACAGTTCTGACAGAATGTGATCTTGACTTCCGCACTGGCTTCCTGCTGGAAGGGACCCAGGTGTGTCCTACACTTCCCGCAAATGAACATAACATACTTCATCTGAGGGAAGACACCAGTGCGGCGAGTGACAACACCGCTGACACGCAGAAGGCAGTTGAGGTGGGACTGGCGGAGTTGGCGGAGGGTGTAAATGACGGGGAGGTCCGTGATACGGACATGAATCTCGTTGTGGATGTCGTGATATTGCGGGTAGTGGAACAGAGTCACGTCGAGGGCAACTTGATCGAAGACCTTCAAAACCTCAGTCGGCTCGTTGGCGAGGAAGTATGCAAGAGCAGCCTTGGTGTTGAGAAGATGTACATAGCTGACCTCTAGCGATGCGGAGTTCACCTCACCAAGGGTCTTAATCTTGTTACCGTACACGGAACTACCAGTAGGGTCGGTGAATTCCGTGAGGAACGCCTTGAACTCGCGGTAGATGGAGCGTAGGACTTGGGGCTGAAGAACCCAGTCGGTGATGTTCGGAGCCTTGACGTCGGTCAACTCCTCCAGGGAGAGCTCTTCCATGACATCGTCGCCCATCTCAACGTCCTCCCGATCCTCATCGTAGTGGTGTCTGCGCCGACGGGGCTGGCGAGTGAGATCGACTTCTGCATCTTCATCGTCCTGCAAGAAGGCAGCAGGCATGCGGCGACGGCGCTCCAGTTCCCGGTCTCTCTTGTTCAGGCGAGCTTCCAGCTGACGACGAGTGGCCATATCCAGCTCCTCGTGGTCGCCTTCATCGTCGATGTATGTTCCGCGGTATTGCTGGTCTTGTGTGCTTCTGTAATCTTTCTCGAAGGTATCACCGAACAAGTCAATGCCATCTTCATCTTCGGCCATCTCATCAAGATCGTCGATGTCGCCCAGCATGTCAGCCTCTTCATCTCCTTCATTGTCATCCTCGTCGAAAGGGAGCATAGGAGGTGACGAAGGGGGAGCTGTGGCAAGAGTCAGCATGCGCACGTTGCCGATATCTAACCATCAAAATCATCTGAGACTTACGACTCGAAGGAGGGGCGACCGATGAAGTCTCATCATCGGGTTCTCTGTCTCTTTTGCGTCGGCCGAGGTTTCCCAGGCCGCGATTTGCGGCGGAATGACTTGGGCGTAGTGGTGAACTGAAGTGCCATGATGAATATTAGTGGAAGGAATTACGGGAGAAGAAAACTGATCGAAGATGTGACCATTCACGTATCGATAGAGTAAACATACCTCATTGTGTCTGGTGTTTCTGACCGGCAGCGGAGTATGGGGGGGGGGGGGGGGGGGTGTATTGAAGGGATTACCGCACGGAGGTTGTAGTGCGGGCGCCTTTTTTTCATCCGTTGGCAGGGAAATCCATCAGGCGGTGTTGATGCGCGGCAGAAACGCGTCGGAGCGCGACCCAAACGCGTCCGAAAACCAATTAAACCCCGATCGGGAAAGAGAAGCGCCACCCAGAATGGCGTTAGTCGACAGCTCAGCACTCCGGCCTGTACCTATAATTATACCGTCTAGAACATTATGGATACTCGAAAGTGACGTGGAAATCAAGCTAGAAAGATTGTCAAGTGGTATGAATGCATTGACCTTCCTTGCTATGGGGTCAATTCAAGTGGCCTGAATGTTGCGGTGCTGCCGCATCACTCTACAGTAGCAGGGACTTCGCACACGGTACTGTACATATTAACTACATTGCTTCGAGGTACTGTGTTGAATTCGGAATGTTAAGTTCATACCTTTTGTTTGAGTAAAGCCAGCATCTGGCAAGCAATATGAGCTTCAAGTAACCGGCCCGAAGTAGCCGTCATCGAGCAGCAGAAGTGAGGTCATGCAAACGGGGCAAACACTTGAATCGCCTTGCGCCGCGCGCGCTTCGAGCTTCCTCGAAGGCTGAGCAGAACCAGATCACCGTTTAATTTACCACAACCCTCTTCTTCAGTCAAATAAAGTCCTCCCTCCGCTGACCTATAGAGCGACTCACCACAACTCAGACACAAGAATATGGCCGACTCAGAGGCATCCAAACCAGCCCCCAGCAATGGGCTGCCGAAAGACGCCCAGGATCCCATCAACCGTCGCGAAAGCTTCAGCTCCCAGAACTCGCAGACTGCCAGACAGTGAGGTTTTCAATTCTGTTTCGCACGGCATACACTGTCGGAATGCCTGTAAATATTTCCGAGTACTGACGAGTCTTGTCTGTCAGATTCATCGAGTCTCAAATTCGCCTCGAAGCTGATGCGCGCGAGATCCTTCCCTACGTGAGCTTGCCCTTCTAACCCCAACCAGACAACCTAACGACGATGGATCGACTGTCGCATATCACACATCGTACTGACAGGCGCAGTCCTTTGATACCTGCACCAAAGCTCTAGGTCCCCTCCGACAATCCCTCTTCGCGTGCCTCACCTGTAACCCCCCTCCTACCGCATCCTCCGACGAGAATGCATCATACACACCAGCCGCCGTATGCTATTCCTGCTCCATCGCCTGCCACGGGGAACACAACCTCGTCGAGCTATTCAGCAAGCGCAACTTTGTCTGCGACTGCGGGACAACCCGGATGTCATCGAGCTCGCCCTGCACGCTGCGCAATGACCCGCACACTGGCGCGAAAGGCGTCCACTCCGAAGAACCCCACCCGGGCAACAAATACAACCACAACTTCCAGAATAAGTTCTGCGGCTGCGACGAGGACTATGACCCCAATCAGGAGCGGGGAACGATGTTCCAGTGCTTGGGTGTGGGGACTGTCGAGACAGGCGGCTGCGGCGAGGACTGGTGGCATCCAGAGTGCCTGATCGGGCTTTCGCGCGACTGGTACAAGAACGCAAAGCAGCAGGAAAAAGAGAAGCAGGAGGAAGTGAAAGCTGAAGATGCGGTAGCAGCGGAGAATGGTGACGACAACAACAACAACAAAAGCGACGAAGTTGATGATGACGACGACGAGGAGACGCCCCTCCCACCCGGGTTCCCTGAAGAAGCTGACTTCGACATGTTCATCTGCTACAAATGCGTTGACTCGAATCCGTGGTTGAAGCGCTACGCGGGGACAACCGGCTTCCTCCCCCCCGTCTTCAAAGAAGGTGGACTGGCCAAACCAATCGCATCCGAAGCCAAATCCGCCGAAGCGACAGACAAAGAACCGACGACTGCAGAACCAATCAACCCCGTCACCACCAGCGCGCAATCTGAGCCTACCCTCAACTCCAAGAAACGCAAAGCCGACGATAACGGCGACGATGACGACGTTGAACCACAACCCACAGCCGAGCCCGCCGCAAAGCGCATCAAGGACGATGAGACGTCCGAATCCACCGGCACCAATACCGACACCGTCACAGCACCAGCCACCACCAACACCGCTTCACCATCTTCCTCTTCCCAACCCCAACCCGACCAACCTAACGCCCCTAAACACACCACCCTCCCCACCACCCCGCCCCCCCAGACCTTCTCCCTCTTCCTCACCGAAACCTTCCGCGACAATTTCTGCCGCTGCCCAGACTGCTACCCGCACACCCTCGCCGCGCACCCGCAACTCCGCGAGGAGGAGGAGGCCTACGAGCCGCCCGTGTCGGAGGACGGGGACCACCACCACGGCGACGGCGCCCGCAGCACGGGCACGGGCAGCCTGCTCGACCGCGGCGAGGCGGCGCTCAGCAACATCGACCGCGTGCGCGCCATCGAGGGCGCCATGGTCTACAACCACCTCCGCGACCGGGTCAAGGAGTTCCTGAAGCCCTTCGCCGAGAGCGGCACCGCCGTCTCCGCCGAGGACATCAAGGCCTACTTCGAGAAGCTGCGCGGCGATGACCAGCATATCCGGGAGGCCGCCGCCGCGGGCCAGGCTTCTTCCGGCGGTGGTAGTGGTGATGGTGGCGGTGCCGGGCAGGATGGGGATAGTCGGAGGGAGCAGAATGGTATGTTTTCCTCTTCTCCTCGACATTTTCCCCAACTTTCAGTCGATCATTGTTGTGGTTGCTAATTCTGCGGGGTTATAGGTTACTGAGTTTACTCTTGGTATCTACTTGATCTAACCGCTTAGTTTGGGGATTTATGGGGTCTAATAGTTGCAGAATGGTTTGGGATACTCATTCAGGACAACATAATAAGGAAAATGGCACGATTGAATGGGAACGGCGTGGTTGGGTTTCAAATAGGAGCAGATTCATTTATCTTTGACTATCTATCTATCTATCTCAGAGAAGAATTCGTGTAATGGTGTTTGTAATGTGTGTTCCTTTTGCTTGGTCTAGGAAGGCGTCGCGCTACGGTGAGCCCAGATACTCGAAGTCAGGTGCAGATTGTACAGTACAATGTGCTTATGTTGTATTCCATCTAAATGCGTTGCTATGTATTTCGTACCCGTTAATTACAGCGACCTGAACGCCATGCCCATATGCAGAGACTATATTTCAAGATATTCAGACGGCGATCCCGATCACTCCTTCAGGCGTTTCGCCGCTCGCCCCATCAATGTATCGTCCGGCAGGCCACTCCGCTTCGTGCCGGGCAGGCTGCCGGAGCGGATATCATTGTCGTCCTGCGTGACCCGGCGGTGCGGGTATTTGCCCTCGAACCCCTCGAAGCAGTTGGCCGAGATGGCGCCGCCACTGCAGAAGTACGGGTGCTCCAGGGCCTCCTGGGCGGTGATCCTCTTGGTGGGGTCGTACTCGAGCAGCCGGGCCAGCAGGTCGTACCCGTCCGCGCCGGGGGTGCCCGCACTCGCGTTGGCGGAGTACCCGTTGTTCTTGAGGCAGCTTTGGTACCAGCCCTCGAGGTTCGAGGAGCGGCTGAAGTGGCCGGGGGCCCGCGACACGGCCAGGGACTGCAGCTGGGCGTACTCCGGCATCGAGACGATGCCCGGCCAGGTCTCCTTGGTCGGCAGGCCCATGATCTCCATGATCTTCATCATCTGGTTGCGCTGGAAGGGCACCGTCTTCTTGCTGTCCATCTTGGCCTCCTCGCCCTTGAAGATGGGCCGCAGCGAGAGCAGCTCCGCGAAGATGCACCCCACCGCCCACAGATCCACCGCGGGCGTGTAGTGCCGGCTTCCCATGAGGAGCTCGGGGGCACGATACCAGATCGTGACGACGACTTTGTCGCCCGAGAAGAGGGAGTTGAGGGGCTTGTAGAAGAGGCGGGCGAGCCCGAGATCCCCGATGCGGATGGCGCCGCTGGAGGTGACCAGGATGTTCGCGGGCTTGAGATCTCGATGCAGCACCCAGTTGGTGTGGAGATAGAGGAGGCCGTTCAGCAGCTGGAACAGGATCGATTTGACCATCGCCGCTGGGATCGCATGTCTCTGCGGTTGCGTGTGGTGGTGGATGATCTGCAGGAGATCGTGCTCCGTGTACTCGAACACCATGAAGATGCACTTGTCTTCCAGGATGATCTCTGCCAGTTGCACCACATTGGCATGGTCAAGCTCGGAGCACAGAGCCATCTCTCGGATCGCGGACTGCGAGAGACCAGTGTACTGCACTACCTCCCCTTCCTTGTCCGGCTTGAACCTGTAGTCGGTCAGCGACGAGCGATTTGATTGAAGTGAAGGCGTCCGCAATCTACTTACTTCTTGATGGCGAACTCGCCCTTCTGGCCATTCTTGCCGATCGCCTTGTAGACTCGGCCATATGTACCGCTGCTGATGAAACCCACAATGTGGTATCTATCTCGCACTCGGACTTTACTGGTGTAACCGGTCCCTGGCGGCCGTCGCGAATCTGTGCTTTCTAAATATAGAAAATTATGTTAGCACTCATAGTGAGAGTAATCCTCGGTGACAACCCATCAGCCAATCGGAACTTAGAAGCAAGAGTCTTGGGGGACAGAGAGAAAAAAAAATAGTCAACCCGAGATTGCTGACAGCAAGGTAGACAATTTCAACAAGTGAGGGTATAGCGTATAGCAGCAGCGTGTAGCCGGCAACAAGAGGGTCGGAGATCGAAGGGACAGCAATTACCACGTGGATAAAACCCGGCGACAGAATTATAGAACGGAAAGCTCTTGCCAAACATGATGGAGGCACTAGACAGTTCTTTTCTTCAAAGCCGTTCAGGAAGCTCGAGAGCTATAGTATAGCTCGGGTACATTTAATGATTCCACCAAAGAAATAGTAATTTAGAACTAACACTCTTCAATCATCAACCAGTGGACATCGTGATAGTGATGGGCCCAGGTCAAGAAAGTAGAAGGGCGCTTGGAGAACTGAGTGGTGGCAAAAGGTGGAGACAGACGGGGTGCTAACGGAGTCTGGGTGGGTTGGAACTTGGAAGCAGTGGAGAAGCACAAGAAGACGAGAAGACGAAGAATAAAATAAATAGATAGGGTAAGAATGTATAAGTACGGAGTACTGAGTAGGTATGTATGTACGAGTATGAATGGATAATGAATTATGGCCGGGTATTACCATCAACAGTAGCCTGCAGACTCTTCAAGTTCTTTAGAGACAGACTTTGGCTGAGGGTGGCCGCAGTAGGCCTGGAAGTCGCACTTAGAGGACCGGATGAGGAAGGGGGGTTCGTCAGGCTCATGGAAGAAAGGGAGGGAGAGGAATAGAAAAAGAAGAAAAGAAGAAGTGGATGTGAGAGGGGGGAATGCCCGGGAGAGAATTGGTGTGGTGTGGTTCGATTGAACTGGTTAGTACGGGGAGTAGTAGCAGTAGCTTGTTGGATGAAGGGAAGTAACTATTCGCAGTCGGCAAGGACAGTGAGGTGAATCATGCATACGGAGACACTGATCTCCACCACTATGAGAAGAGCATAAGACCTGCAGGAAAAGACTTGATGATTAGGTAGGTAGGTTAGGTATGACTTAGAAATGAGCAACAATGGTTGGTGGTGAGAAAGGCCCAGAGACGTGACCATTCAAGTGAGGCTGCATTGAGACTCTCGGAGGGAGAGGGGGAGCGTGACTGACTCAGCAGAAGATCGATCCCCTGGTTGATAAGAACAACAACAGCAGCAGCAGCAGCAGCATCAACAACCAACAAGAACAAACAATAGTTACGTGTATACATGTGTAACCATCCACTACACATAGTTACTTGCCTGTCCAGTCAAGGTACAGAACTCAGACTCCTTACAGAGTACCTCAATGCTCACATTGCTACTCTGTAGCAAACTCCCTATCAACCCCGGCCCCCTGAGTCGGTGATTAGACATACGGACTTTCCTTCTCCCGATGCATACTGATAGCCGCAACGTCATCTAGACGCAGCTCGGCGTTCAGCAACAACCCTCCTTTTTGTGACATCGGTGATGACTGGACCGAAAAAACCTACTTGAAAGTCTCCATTGGTCGACGACTTGCTTGTTGAACGAGGAATATCCTTGCAGTTTCCAATCTTCAACCATAGAATGGCTTCAGGGGAGTCGACCCGATCTAGGGTCACGCCGTACTTGGTCTATCTCGTGTTCATAACCACCCTAGGACCGCTGCAATTTGGATATCACCTGGTAGGCATCGGGGCCATTTCATTATTCCATCTAACTTTTTTTGCTGACTTGAAAAACTCGTCAAGGCTGAATTAAACGCACCTCAAGCCGTCATTACTTGCGAGCAGAAGAGCATTGACTCCACTACAAGTGCAGCTTCACTTCCGCAATGCATCCCTATGAACCCGTCCCAGTTCGGCCTGGTATCCTCGATTTACACCCTTGGTGGCCTAGTCGGAGCTCTGCTGGCAGGGCCAGTATCCACCAAACACGGTCGTTTATCCACTCTCCGCGCTACGACTATCTTTCATATCTTAGGTCCCGTAGCTGAGACCTTCGCATCCAACATAGCATTGCTGAGTTTGGGCCGCTTCCTATCAGGAGTCGGATCCGGGGCTGCTATTGTTGTTGGTCCAATTTATGTTTCCGAAATAGCCCCTCCTGCCGCAAGGGGCTTCTTCGGCGCCTTCACGCAAGTCATGACGAACGTCGGGATTCTGCTCACACAAACGCTGGGATACTTCTTGAGTTACGGAAATGTGTGGAGGGTCGTTCTTGCCGTCGCCGGCTTCATCGGGGCTCTGCAGCTTCTGGGACTCTTTCTGGTCCCGGAGAGTCCCACCTGGCTTGCGGAGCATCAGAAGGGCAGCTTGGCTAGGAAGGTACTTCAGCGTCTACGCGGGAAGGATGCTGATATTGAAGAGGAGGTCAAAAGCTGGTCCAGTTCCTCCGTTGATGCTGCAGATGGCTCGGGAGAGGAGCAGTCGCTGCTGACACCACCATCGAGCAATATGCCACCGAAGCAGCCACCAGTCACCATCCTCAGAGCCGTCACAGATTCTTACTATCGGCCAGCTATTGTTGCCGTCGTTGGTGTCATGATTGCCCAGCAATTCACGGGGATCAACAGCATCATCATGTACAGCGTCTCGCTTCTACAGAGCATCCTTCCTACTACCGCAGCCCTACTGGCAGTGGCCATCTCGGGCATCAACTTGGTCATCACACTTGCCTGCACTCCTTTGCCCGACAAGATCGGGCGTAAGAAATGCCTTCTGCTTAGCATCAGCGGCATGGGGGTAAACTCCTTGCTCTTAGCTCTGGGTATATACACCAGCCAGAAAGCCTTGTCTGCAATCGCTGTGCTACTGTTTGTGGCCTGCTTTGCTGTCGGTGTCGGTCCTGTGCCTTTTATCCTTGCGTCTGAGCTGGTTGGTCCGGAGGCTGTGGGCGCCGCACAGAGCTGGGCGCTTGCGGCCAATTGGATTGCGACATTCATTGTGGCGCAATTCTTCCCTGTCTTGAACCAGGCTCTGGATCGAGGCAGGATATACTGGGTCTTTGCTGCTATGGCCTGTCTTTTCGGAGCGTTCATTTACTGGCGGGTTCCTGAAACCAAGGGCAAAACCAGCTCCGATGAGGTTTGGGGCAGGGTTGATCGACGGAGAAGAGACTAACCCGACCTATTACAGAAATGCTATTGTTGGCTCATAGTCTTGGATGGGTTAAAGGCGGGATACAGATAGGAAAGGACTTCAATCGGCTTGCCTGAGGGGCAGACAGAGTTAGCCCCACGGCACCCAGCGTTTGCACTTGCTAAGCTCTAGTACCCTCATAGTCTAAATCGAGTAGTATCTCTTCGAATAGAGGTGTCAATGCGAAAGCTCGCATACAGCCACAGCTTATGTGTCACTCTTGGCATTAAGGGGTGCGCTTGACTGCAATAACGATTGGCGAAGCCTGATTACGATCAGCACTATGGCGGTCCAGCAGCATCTCGCTCAAAGGACTGCTTACATGTGCTGAGAACATGTATTTTCTTGAGATTGAGGCTACAGCCCCTATTTTTCGTTGGGATGTTGGTTACAGGTTGGCATAAAGTTGTGTCCAACCTGACATACATTTACAGGGGAAGATCGCGTCTCAGGTCTGAAACACAAAAGGTTAGCCGAGCTCATAGATATCCCTCTCTGGCCCGAATCAAGAAAAATGCAAATTGATCGCCAAGAATCAAAGGTAAGCAGCCTAAGGCCCGGAGGTTTATAATAACTCAACCGCCAGGATGCTTCCACACTGTACCTACCAGTCTATAGGGCTGGATGATTGGGACGGAGGCTTGTCTGCATTGCGGCGGTGGTAAGTTACCTACGAGACGCTGTTTTACGGAGGCCGCGGAATGGCCCGTTGGTCAGCGGGCGCCCCTCCTTTACACTATAACTACCGCAGTTATGGTAGACTAAATTTCAAAGCAAAGAGAGAATATCGTCCAATCCAAGATTGCGATTTCTCATCCCAACAACTCCCTTCCAGCCCTTCCGCCGGTTCCTACTGGAGCCTTTTTGACACTCGAAGTGGGGACACGATCGCTCAGCCCTGCTTCAGGGAATCAGGGGACTTTGACTGCTGCTTAGGCAAGCCAAGGATGGAATCCATTACGGAGTCTTCCATGGGATCCTGATTCTGATCCCCGAGGGGTTTTATTCTGGGAAGATGTCTGTCCAGGCAGCAAGAAACCCATAGACATCCGCAAAGTAGGACAATCGGCTGTCCCGTGGAAGCACTCGCAGGCAGACCTTTTCCCTTCCTTCCATTCCTTCTCGTTCTCCTACAGTTGATGCAGCAGAAAGGATGGCAGATGCGTTCGGTAGGGGAGAACAGGAAAAGAATTCCCGCAGCATGAACCGGTACCATATTTAGGAAGATAACCTCCATTGAATTTAGGGATGTGATGTAGAGCGACTCATTTGGACTAGGCAGCCACAATCACTGATCACTCGACTGCGTTGAGTGGTGGAGATGAGACTAATTTCTCGGACCTGACGTCGTTCTCTCCCTACCAAGATTAGCCAGATTAGGGGGACAAATGCTTTGCATAAGTGCGATGATGCATCTAGCTGCATTATCATTCATGGAAGAAGAGAATGAAGAGTGAATTCTAGGGGTGAGGTTGGGGTGGGGGAGAGAAAAGCAGGGCCACAACTAACTTTACTTCTTATTTCCGCTCTCCGAAGTAGTCCTGCGTTGCCGAGGATAAGAAGAATAAATAAAATGAATGAATCAATGAGACTCGATCACTAAATCGACTAGTTAGCTAAATGTCAACTTGTCATCTACTCGAGTACTCGGTATTTTGTACTTGTTGTCATTACTTTTTAGATCTATTTTTTTTTTCTTTATCCTCTCCTCCGTATTCCGGCAATGTCCTCCTAGTCGATCGAGGCCACCCCACTTCATATACGAGAGAGGACAGTCTGGTCTATCTAGTCCATTATCTATCGAGACGGTCCGTCTGGCTTGTTGTTCCTTTTTCTCCGTGCTTCGATGAAGGCCATACACTAAAGAAATAAAGTCTATGCGCAACCCACTCGGTCTCATCCACTCAGCCGCGCAGTCAACTTTCCCATTCACGTTCACGTTCACGTCCACGTCTACGTCCACGCCCCCCCATCCTTCCACACAACTCTTCCACCATTCAACAATCACTGTCTGTGTTTTCCTCGCCATGCTCCTGATCTCCCATATCTAAAGGGTGTCAATCGCAAAGTGCGTATACCTACCTCTGCTCCAAGTTCATTGCAGTGCGTTGCGACCGTGCTGGTTTGCTCGTGGGATTGCTGGGTCGCCCGGAGCCACCAGATCTTCCTAAGATCGCCCGGCACTCAACCTTGACAGGCAACCACCGCGACCAACGCTCCGTCATTGTGACTGGGGAGCTCCTCCTCCTGTTCCCTTCTCCAGATGCTGATTAGCCCCCTTCAAGGCAATTTCCCCTACTATCCCTGTTTGCTCACGAACGCGTCCCTAAATAATCCCACTCTCCGATCATTTTCCCGTCCTCAGTATCGACGCGACGTCACCTCCGGCTCCGTCTGGCCTGCTTTCTCCCCCTCCCCGCACTTCCCGACGGTTCATCATGGTGCGCTTACCGTTGCCACAACGGCTCAGCACTCATTTGAGCTCAAAAAGCACCAATACCACTCCCGGTCAAAGCAGAAGTACCAGTCCCATGAGAATGTCTGACACGAAGCCCTTGATCCTCAAGGTCTCCGTCCTTCGGGTGAGTCCGCACTTCCCAGATTCGCGGAGCCGCTCGGAAGTCCCGCCCGCATTCCTCAACATTACTGACTGCTGGGTACTAGGGGAGGAATCTAGCAGCTAAGGACAGAGGAGGAACCAGCGACCCGGTATGGCATAAAATCTATTCCAGCTATTGAACCAGCTGATCGCTTGCTAACAAGCCACCTTGTTGTTCAGTACATGATAGTCACACTTGGAGAGGCCCGGCAGTCAACACCCACGATACCAAAGACCCTGAACCCAGAATGGAACGTCACGTTTGAGATGCCCGTGGTCGGCGTACCACTATTGGAGTGCATCTGTTGGGATCATGATCGGTTCGGCAAAGACTATATGGGCGAATTCGACATTGCCCTCGAGGAGATATTCAGCCGCGGCGAGGTCCATCAACAGGTACATTTTCCCGGAACGCGACTGACCTGGACGTGCGAGTTGACATGATGCCTGCAGCCAACCTGGTACACTCTTCGCTCGAAACGAAAGTCTTCGAAGAAGAAGGACAGTATCATCTCTGGGGAAATCCTGCTGCAGTTCTCTCTCATCGATCCGGCAAACCCCAATTCCCCTGCGGAAGAAGTCTATCAAAAATTCAGAACCCTGGTATGTGCTGGGGACGATGAAGATGAATTCCCGCAGGTACCTTCGTTTTCACCAGAGGATGTCGACAGAGATGAAGAAACGTCGGATGAGACGGACGACCCTACCAAACCAGAGATCGTGGAAAAGCGAAGAAGGAGGCTGCGCCTTAAACGTCTGAAACGGAAATCTTTGGCAGCACGAGCCTACCAGTTTTCCGGTATAGGAAATGGAGTGCAAGGTATCGTGTTCATGGAGATTGTGAAGGTGACGGACCTTCCGCCCGAACGGAATGGTATGGTTTTCCTCTGTCCATCCTCAACCTCGTCATGGCTGAGCTAACTCTTGATCAAGTGACGCGCACCTCCTTCGACATGGACCCGTTCGTTGTCACCTCACTCGGAAGAAAGACGCTTCGAACACCGGTTGTTCGTCACAATCTTAATCCAGTATACAACGAGAAAATGGTGTTCCAGGTCATGAAGCATGAAACTTCTTATACGATCGGCTTCACCGTCATGGACAGGGACAAGTTCTCTGGCAATGACTTTGTCGCATCGGCCGGATTTCCATTACAGACCTTGATCAAATCCGCTCCCAACGCCGATCCTGAGACTGGCTTGTACGATTTATCAAATCAGACTCCTGATCTCACGAGCTCTGAATCGGACATTGCTGTGAGACCAGCTCCGAAGATCTCGGTCAGCCCCTCTCCCTCGACCAGCAGCCTGTCTAGATCACCTAAACTAGGCATGTCACCAAGGGGCTCTTCTACGTCCCTGTCAGGCCTGTCACAGCAGGGAGAACCGACTCTTCTTCCACCTCGGAGTGTCCCGGAAGACACCGAGACTCCCAGCCTCTCAAGCTCTCCTACGCTAGCTAACTTTACCGTCTCCCCGCTTGAGGCTGATAGCGAAGGGCTTCGAGTTTATCGCATTCCACTCAGCTTGAAGAATAAGGACAGATGGGAAGACAAGCATTCGCCCGAACTCATTGTCAAGGCCAAATATATGCCGTATCGTGCCCTGCGCCAGCAGTTCTGGAGACTCATGCTCAAACAATACGATGCAGACGATAGCGGTCGTATTGACAAGGTTGAACTGACTACCATGCTTGACACTCTTGGTTCCACCTTGAAGGAGTCCACAATTGACAGTTTTTTCGAGCGTTTCAGTCTGGAAAATCAACCCAGTGAAACAATGGATCTGACCTTTGATCAAGCTGTGATCTGCCTAGAAGATACCCTTCAGGCACTTCAAAAAGACCCGAGACTGGCAGGCAGAAAGGTTTCACCCACATCATCATCGATCAGCCAGGATAGCGAGGAACAGTCGAGCGGTGATGATGAGCTCATTGCAGGGCTTAACGCTGGCCTGCCAGCCAACCATGACCCTCAGACTACACATATTCCTACCATACCCACCGAAGAGCAGCCGGGCTTGGTTGAGGAAGACCTTCAACCCGACGATTTGGGAGATGAACGCGGTGTGGAGCACGTCATTGAGCTTCGAGAATGCCCCCTCTGCCATCAACCGCGGCTCTCCTCTCGTTCCGATGCCGACATCATCACGCACATTGCCACATGCGCAAGCCGGGACTGGAGGCAGGTGGACAACCTCGTCATGGGAGGCTTCGTGACCTCCAGCCAGGCGCAGCGCAAATGGTACACTAAAGTCATCACGAAGATTGGTTATGGTGGCTACAAGCTGGGAGCCAACTCGGCCAACATCCTTGTCCAGGACCGAATCACTGGGCAAATCAATGAGGAGCGCATGAGTGTCTATGTCCGATTGGGCATTCGATTGCTGTACAAGGGTCTTAAAAGCAGAGAAATGGAAAAGAAGCGAAGTATGTCTTATTACCTGAGATAAGGTTGTTGTTCACAAGATCTCGCTAACCATGATTATAGTTCGCAAAATCTTGAAGTCTATGAGTATCAAGCAGGGCAAGAAGTACGATGATCCTGCGTCTGCCAGTCAGATCCGGGACTTCATCAACTTCCACCAACTTGATATGTCCGAAGTCTTGTTGCCCATCGAAAAGTTTAATAACTTTAACGAGTTCTTCTACCGTGCACTGAAACCCGGTGCCCGGCCCTGCTCAGCGCCGGACGAGCCCAGAGTTGTTGTGTCACCTGCTGATTGCCGAGCGGTTGTATTCGACCGTATGGATGAAGCGACTAATATCTGGGTTAAAGGTCGAGAATTCTCTATCGAACGCCTCCTCGGCGATGCTTACCCCGAAGATGTGAAGCGCTACAAGAATGGAGCACTGGGTGTTTTCCGTCTTGCTCCCCAAGATTATCATCGCTTCCATATCCCCGTGGACGGAGTCATGGGTACCCCCAAGACTATTGAGGGTGAGTACTACACGGTCAATCCCATGGCGATCCGCTCTGCTCTCGACGTGTATGGCGAGAACGTGAGAGTTCTCGTGCCAATTGATTCCGTGGCTCTTGGCCGTGTCATGGTGGTCTGTGTTGGAGCCATGATGGTTGGAAGCACAGTCATTACACGAAAGGCTGGGGAGCAGGTTTCACGGGCCGAAGAGCTCGGTTACTTTAAGTTTGGAGGAAGTACCATTCTTTTGCTCTTTGAGGAGGGGTCGATTAATTTCGACAGTGACTTGGTGGACAACTCGAAGGGGCCCTTGGAAACTTTGGTAAGACAACCCCTTACTGCTCCTTACGCATGATTCTTAAGCTAACACGGCGTTCCTCAAAATAGATCCGGGTCGGCATGTCTGTGGGTCATCGTCCCGATATTCCTCAGTTCGAACCGGACATGCCCAAGAAATCCGAGGATATCTCTCTTGAGGAGATGCAGTCTGCGAAGCGTCGGATTGAAGGCAGTCTGGCCCCGCCTACTGAAGATGTCCCTGCTCTCCCGTAGACTATGTATGTTCTGCATTGTAATCTTGTTACATATGCTCTGTATTCTTGCAGCCTTTTTTGCCAAGCGGGGTATATTGCTTTATTTTTTTTTCTTATTCTTTCGGGCGTTGACAGGTACGCTTAGAGGCCCGGAGCCTGCATAGCGATTGAGAAACTCATTTTGTAAAAAGATTATAAGTATGAGGTGTGATGGGCATGGCTGAGTGTTGAAAAGTGGGTGGACTGTACATAGTCTTGTTACGAGAATATAGGCAATTATGCCAGATGTGAATAAA